ACGTTGATTTGTGTTTCTGGTTGTATTCGTGCGTTTATGTATGTACGTTGATTTGTGTTTCTGGTTGTATTCGTGCGTTTATGTATGTACATTGATTTGTGTTTCTGGTTGTATTCGTGCGTTTATGTATGTACGTTGAAGAAACAAATATTAAATAATTTAGTGGAGTCTATCATTGATTTGTGTTTCTGGTTGTATTCGTGCGTTTATGTATGTACGTTGAAGAAACAAATATTAAATAATTTAGCGGAGTCTATCGTTGATTTGTGTTTCTGGTTGTATTCGTGCGTTTATGTATGTACGTTGAAGAAACAAATATTATATAATTTAGCGGAGTCTATCATTGATTTGTGTTTCTGGTTGTATTCGTGCGTTTATGTATGTACGTTGAAGAAACAAATATTATATGATTTAGCGGAATCTATCATTGATTTGTGTTTCTGGTTGTATTCGTGCGTTTATGTATGTACGTTGAAGAAACAAATATTAAATAATTTAGCGGAATCTATCATAGGAGTTTTAAATTTTGCCTATTTCCACTTCTTTTACACTTTACCAGTTTTAGTTCAAAATGGCTGCAAGGCAGAACCACACAAATTCCTCCTAGCAAGATTAGGCTTACCTCCATCAGCATACGTCTCAGAGCCGTATCCATCCTGGAGTCCATTGGCCCACGTGCCTTCGTACTTGGCTCCAGAGGTGAGTGACTGTCGAACCCCATATCGGCCCTTCAGCCCTTGGGTCCACTCTCCGCGATACACCCAACGATCTCGTGTTTCTACCCCTAGTCCGTGACGCTTGCCGTTCTGCCACTGGCCCTCGAAAGTACTGCCGCTGGGCCACGTGTACACTCCGGACACTTCAAATCCAAAGTGCCACGACCCACTGTACTCGCCCTGGCCCTTAGGACCCGTGCACACTCCGTGTCCGTGAGCCTTACCGTCATCCCACCCCCCGCAGTAAGTGCCTCCATCGTCAAAGTCGAAACGACCGCCTGTGGTTCGAGGCTGCACGTGAGACGCTGTCATGGGAAGAGAATGGATGCACCATTCAGCACGAGCATAAGATGGAGAAAAGATGGCGTGAATGCATATGTACTGTTGGTTGAACTAACACTTAGACGATGCAGCTATCTGTTTGTTTGTTTGTACCGTCAGCACATATTTATCTCCTGTATAGAAATAATGCAAAGTTGTCAACGCCAGGTGTATCACGAGCCAAACAAACAGTCGTTTCTATTTTGCTCTCGAGTCCCTAGCACAGATGAAAGGTTGCGTTTTCTACTCAGTCGATCTACAAACACAATATTTCTTAAATCTAAAACTCCACTGTAATGGATATATATAAGGCTGATATAAATAAACAGTACGTATACAATGTTCAATCATGCAGCAGTGCCTGTATACTGGCTGCACCCTCAGTTCTATTGACGTTGCACGTATTACTGATACGATATACGCATGCGCAGGTCTGCAGATGATTGCTCCACCTATAAGTAAGAGAGTGCTAATAGAATGTATGATTGATCCCATACACAGGCAATGTCTGGGCCTAACTAGTGACGTTCTACCCTAGTATTCAAGGGAACTGGAAGAAAAACGTGGCTGAAGTAATCAATAAGATGAATGTAAACAATAAAATGCATCTATTTCAATCTAGCCAGTGACGTCAGGCGACTAAAACCGGAACTAGTTGTTTGGCTAGAAGATTCTCTCGGTATTTTTCGTTTGAATTAATCTTGTGCTTGGTGAAATTGAAACCACAGGCATACAGGTGATCGCTTTAGGTTATGACATCGTACAGTAGATTTAACTTCATCATACACTGTTTTGTTTTGCATCATATAACTATTATTTGGGGCAGACTACGTACTGAGTTTGAGGACGTTCTTTCGGGTTCTGTTGTTAGGCGAAGCAGTATTCAGTCGCTACAGGTCCATGTTGTACCCGTACATGGCTATTAGACCATCTGGTACATGAACTGTATCACGAACATGGTACAAACAGTGGTGTAGAACGTCCTTGAGTAATAAAAAAAATTATTATTTTACGTAAGCACTTAACATGATGAATATGACAATTTTCTTTCAAAATACATTTTTTGGTGTGATTCATACTTTACATTTATCAATCAGAAAGTATAACAGAACATACTATAACAAGGCATGATACGTTGACAGAGCATTGTACGTTGACATACACTGACAGACTATTGTATGTTGACATATATTATTATAGAAAGTTACTTTGAATCTCTATAGTTTGTGACTCGTACTTTACATTTATCAACTAGAAAGTATAACAGAACATACTATAACAAGGCATGATACGTTGACATATGTTGACAGAGCATTGTACGTTGACATACACTGACAGACTATTGTATGTTGACATATATTAGTATAGAAAGTTACTTAGAATCTCTATAGTTTGAAGCTAACTAATCTAGATACCGTTACACCAAAGACAGAAACAGACTTTATGTATATTTCACCGAAATAGACTAAAATAAGTATAATAACTTGTTTAAAATTGAATACTTTGTTTGTGAGAAAATGTAAATCATTCTCAAACCTTGAGGGGTAATTAAACTGACGAAAATAATAAACCTTTAGGGATAATTAAAACTGACGAAAATAACAAACCTTTAGGGGTAATTAAAACTGACGAAAATAACAAACCTTTAGGGGTAATTAAAACTGACGAAAATAACAAACCTTTAGGGGTAATTAAAA